GGACTAAAGCAGTCTCCAAGGCAGTGGTATAAGAGGTTTGACACTTACATGATTCAGCTAGGATTCAGCAGGAGTCCATATGATTGTTGTGTGTATCACAACAAAGCTGATGATGGCTCCATGATCTATCTTGTTCTGTATGTGGATGATATGCTCATAGCTGCGAAGTCGAAGTTAGAGATTCAGAAGTTGAAGGGCCATCTAAATGCTGAGTTTGATATGAAGGATCTGGGTGCTGCGAAGAAAATTCTAGGCATGGAGATATACAGGGATAGAGATCAGAAGAAGCTTTTCTTATCACAGAAAAGCTATATTGAGAAGATTCTGTCAAGGTTTGGCATGTCTACAGCTAAGCCTATTGATACTCCAAGTGCCACAAACATCCATCTATCATCTGATTATGCACCAAAGTCTGAAGCAGAGTTGGAGTATATGTCTCGAATTCCATACTCCAATGCAGTAGGAAGCCTGATGTATGCTATGGTCTGCACTAGACCAGACATAGCACATGCTGTTAGTGTTCTTAGCAGGTTCACGGGACAACCTGGAAAGGAGCACTGGCAGGCTGTGAAGAGGATTTTCCGCTACCTGAGAGGTACGTCTGATGTTGGTCTCATATATGGAGGTGGTACATCAATGTTCTATGACCGGCTATTCTGATTCTGATTATGCTGGAGATGTTGACAGTAGAAGATCTATGACTGGTTACGTTTTCACTCTGGGTGGTTCTGTTGTTAGTTGGAAAGCAACTTTGCAGACTGCAGTTACTCTCTCTACTACTGAAGCAGAATATATGGCATTGATAGAAGCTGCTAAAGAGGGAATCTGGTTGAAAGGGCTAGTTGGTGATCTTGGTCTGCATCAAGAGCGAGCTATTGTGTTTTGTGATAATCTGGGCGCTATCTGTTTAGCCAAGGATCAGGTCCATCATGAGAGAACCAAACATATTGATGTGAGGTATCATTTTCTGAGGAATGAGAAGAAAATCAAGGTGGAGAAAGTGGGCACTGCTGATAACCCTGATGATATGTTCACCAAGCCGGTCCCACATAGCAAGTTCCGACATTGTTTGGACTTGCTTAACATCAGAAGCTGTTAGTAGCCCTGCGGGGCACTTCTGGGGAAGAGGGGGAGGTCTGGCACAATCAAGAGTGCATCTGAAGAATCTGTATGGAGGATTCAAGTCAAGGTGGAGATTTGTTAAAATGCCTTGAATCTGACCCATCACAGCTCCGAATCCGGAAAAGTCCGTTTTCTGAGAAGTCCGTTTTCGGAGAAGTCAGAGTTCGGAGGAGTCAGAATCCGGAGGAGTCAGAATCCGGAGAAGTTAATTGGGCTTCTAATTATCTGTTAATTATGTAGTTTTGGGCCCAAGTATGTTAGGGTTTAGTGAAGCACTATTTATATGGGTGCTACAACAAACTCTATGAGCTGTACTCTGTTTTGCCTCTCCTTTAGAAATAAAACTGCTCCCCCTCTTCCCCGTGGACTAGCCAACACAACGTTGGTGAACCACGTTAAATCTGTTGTTGTGTTTTTTTCTGTTTGTTCTTTGATTACTCAATACCCTATTCCGTAACAACACAAGACTTAGAAAAAGTCATGTTTAAAAATTATAGTGAAATGTGTGTCTTACCAGAGCCAAAGTTATTGGTACTTAATAGAAACCTGCAACATGAACCAAAAGTGTTAAAACGAGCAGTACATTGAGGCGAGTTCATATTGAATTCAGGAAACACTCGATCTCAAGACTTAATAGAAACGTGTAACATGAACCAATAGTGTTAAAACGAGTTATATAGACAACGATTACGTGCAACGACTTATAATATAATGTGAATAGTCATACGTTTGGGGCTGTTTTTGAAACAATAAGGACTGGCTTTGATCTCTTTTAAATAAAATTGGTTTAGACTGTGTAGGCTGTGTAGTCAATATGGGTGAGCACTTTGTTTTTAAGGTAATTAGAGAAGTCAAGCTCGATGTGTATATTTCCTTTCTAAAAAATAAAAATAACATATTCTTTTTCATATGTGTTCAATGACTGATTGGCCTATTGTAGGTCAAAAGTTTTACAAATTGCAGTACATTGAGGCGAGTTTATATTGAATTCATCAAACACTCAATCTCAAGACTTAGAAAAAGATAAGTTAAAAAAGTATAGCGAAATGTGTCTCTTACGAGAGCCAGAGGTATTGGTACTTAATAGAAACCCACAACATGAACCAAAAGTGTTAAAACGACAAGCATGTGTTGTACTACTTTCACTACTACAGCTAGGGGCTGTAGTACTTCATTACAGGGGGAAATTTAGAGTTCTAATATGTTGACATCATCATGCCTGCAACTATAAACCATTCTTTCTAAACATGTTGTTTGGAATGAGCAGGTAGGTAAAATCATAAAAATACAATTTAAAATTAGATTCAGAAATTCATCCATTTTCATCCACAACAGTGTTCCCTTTGATGCATATTTCATGAAGAAATTGGATCATTCATGCTTCCTTTACTCCTATGCTTACCATAGTACACAGTAAATACATCCTCAACTCTTTAAATGTTTTGTGCATCAAACATTTTAAGACGATAGATTGTTTCATAAATCATCATATACCTTTACGTTTTTTGCTATCCTTGCTGTAGGATATACTAATTGAGATCATCTTAAAACAGTTCTAGCTTTTATATCTTTTGTGTGCATTCACTAAAAGAAATGTTCTCATTTTACCTAAACTTTTTTGAACCTACAACTTTTATTAGGATTGATTAGTAATTATTACAGATACGACTTTTTCCAGATCTAAAAAAACAACATACAGGAAGCTTACATTCATTATATAGCCCAGGTACAAATCAATCCCTTTCATCTGCTTTTAATATATTTAAATTCATTTTTTCATTCTCTGTAATTGCCCCATTAAGTGTAGTTATTGTATTCCTCTCCACGTACCGTACTTACCTTAGTCTTAGATAATGATATCTTTCCACCTTATGTATACGCTGTATTTAATTTAAAGCAATTACAAGTCTGTGATCTACGTTTTTTTTAACTTTTATCAAGATATAATGGAAATTGGTTCTACCTCTACCAATACAAGAAATGATGAGAGCCGTCGTGAACAAAGAAACTTCAGACGCCGACTTAGGTATCGTGAGGCACGTGAAAAGGCAAAAACAGAGAATGTCAGTCCACCAACGCAAGCTGAATTTACCCCCCCCTTCTACAACCACCGAAGGTCCTTCATTTATGTACTTGTTCATTTACAAATCAAATCTACCTTCTTTTTAGGTTTAAAGTACAATTGCTAATCACTTCCTCTTCTTTTCCCAAATACTCAACCAAATATCCAAACATAATGATTCACAAACTTACATACTCCTTACTTATCCAATGTCTGCAAATCTTCATTACTAATTCATATTCATAGAATGTATTCAATCTCCTTCAAACTATGTGCATCAAGATTCACCTTTTTCCCTAAAAAGAGTCATGGATTGTATATTTTGCGGTGCAAAACGGCTTCAGTTTGAACCCCCGGGATTTTGTTGTTGTCGAGGTGAGGTTGTTCTTGCTTCCACGCAAATGCCAGGTCCATTGAGGGACTTATTCATTGGCAGAGACATACAGGCAACACAATTTCAATCTGTAGTGCGCACATATAACAACACATTCGCCTTTACTTCGATTGGTATTTATAGTTATGACAAAGATTTATGCAAAAGGAATAAAGGCATCTATACCTTTAAGGTGCAAGGACAGATCTATCATTTTATCAATGACTTGCTTTCAGATGGATTGCCTCCAAAGAATCTACAGCTATACTTCTTTGACACAGATCAGCAAATCAAGGATAGAATGCAAACATCTGACAGATTGGACAAAGACATAGTATCAACCCTTGTTCAAGTCATCTCAGATAACCCATATTCCCGCTTCTTCAAAAGTCTAAAAGATGTATGTCATGAAGCAGACTTTAGTATAAAGTTGCATAACAATCCAGGCTTAGACCAAAGAATTTACAACACTCCCACAGCCTCGCAAATTGCTGCAATATGGGTTGAGGACAGTAACAATGAAACCCAAGGAAACAAACACATTCGAGTTTATGGTCATAGTGGGAGATCACAAAGTATACAGTACTTTTATGGTTGCTACGATCCTTTGCAATATCCCCTTTTATTTCCTCGTGGAGAACCAGGATGGCATACGGGCATTGATAGAGAATCACAACGCCGATTAGTGCAAAGTACAGAACTGCAGTCCCCCACAATAAATGTTAATGCTCTACAAACTGCTGAGGAACTAATTGAAATTGAAGAACATAATTTGCAACGTGGATGAAAGAGAAAAACAGTTTCATGTCGAGAATACTATGCTTACAAATTTCAAGTACGTCAACATGATAGCAGTTTCTTGCTTCATACTGGAAGACTATTTCAGCAATTCATTGTTGACGTCTATATTAAAATTGAGACACAACATTTGGATTACTATAGAATCAAACAACTCGATTTGAGATCAGAAACCTATCAAGGCGTTATGGATAGCATGTGTTTAGGGATGGTATATGGGAATGATATTGGAAAGCGTGTTATTCTCCCTGCTACTTTTATAGGAGGACCACGAGATATGCGTAAACGTTATCTAGATGCTATGGCTATTGTTCAGCACTATGGAAAACCTGATCTGTTTGTCACGATGACCTGTAACCCAAATTGGCCAGAAATCAAAGAACTCTTGCAACATCACGATGAGGCGCAGAACAGGCCAGACCTTGTGTGTAGGGCGTTTCATGCTCGACTTCAGGAATTCAAAAATGATATAATTAAGAAAAAGTTCTTTGGTGAGGTCGGTGCGTACATATATGTCATTGAATTTCAAAAGCGTGGTCTTCCGCATGCACATTTTCTTATCATTTTAAAGACATCTTCAAAAATTCAAACATCTGATTCATGTGATAAGTTTGTTTGTGCCGAGATACTTGACATCATACACCAACCTCGACTATACGCACTTGTAAAGAAACACATGATACATGGCCCCTGTGGTGTTCTTAACTGAAACTGCCCTTGCATGACCAAAAAAAAGGTCACCTCACTTTTTCCTGTAGAAGCAAGTACCCTCGCGCATTATGTGAAGAAACTTCATTTGGGGAGGATTCATTTCCTATATATCGCAGAAGGAAAAGCCCCAATGTTGTAGGAGTAAGAGGTATGGAACTTGACAACTCCTGGGTAGTACCATACAATCCACAGCTTTTGTTAAAGTTTGACTGCCATATTAATGTAGAGATTTGTGCTTCAGTCAAATCTGTTAAGTATATATACAAATATGTTTATAAAGGACATGATAGGATTACTATCGGAATTTCAAATAATGAAAGCTCATCTCAACCTGATGAGATAAAAGACTATCAGAATGCAAGATGGGTTTCCGCCCCAGAGGCATCTTGGAGAATATTTTCATTCCCAATTGCTGAAATGCATCCATCAGTGGTTCAGTTACAGGTACACTTAGAAAACTTTCAATACATCAATTTTTTTGAAAACCAAAGAATAACAAGAATAGTAAAAGATGATGATAGGTGCTGTACAATGTTGACGAAATTCTTTGAAATGAACGCACATGATACCGTGGCGAAACGACTGCAGCTCTATTACATACAATTTCCGGAGTACTTTGTTTGGTCAGACACGAACAAATTGTGGACACAGCGCAAGTGCAAGAACGTAATTGGACGACTTGTTAGTGTTAATCCAATTGAAGGAGAAAGATATTATCTCCGACTTCTACTCCTACATATCAAAGCACCAACTTCATTTGAAGGACTTAAGCTTGTTGATGGCCATATGACACCCACATTTCAAGAGGCTGCAGAGAAAATGGGCCTTTTAGCCGGGAATAATTCCCTTGATGTTTTCTTGGAAGAAGCTGTCATGTATCAAATGCCTAACAGCTTGCGGAAATTGTTTGCTACACTCTTGGTATTCTGTGATGTTCCAAATCCAAAAGAATTATGAACTAAATACAAAAGTCACCTATGTGAGGACTTCTCTCATACAGCCCTATACACTGCAATAGAAATGGAAACAATTGCGTTAAAACTGATTGGAGATGTGACTCAAACACTAGGGAAGAATATTCTGACTTTCAACTTGGTTGACCATGCTAGCCCCTTAACTGTTGCAGATACACGGGCACGAGAACTTAGATCGGAATACAACATAAATGTCAGTGAAGAAGATATGGGATTAGCTCAGAAGCTGAATACTGGTCAGCAAACTGCATTCAACTCTATCATGGAAAGTGTTATGTCTAACAAGCCTAGTGTATTTTTTGTTGATGGACCTGGCGGGACTGGAAAAACATTCTTATATAGAGCTTTATTGGCAACAGTTAGAAGCAAAAAATGGATAGCTTTAGCCACCGCTACCTCAGGCATTGCTGCCTCAATCCTTCCTGGTGGTCGCACAGCGCACTCTAGATTTAAGTTGCCAATTGATGGAACTGAAAAACATACATGTAATATTGGAAAACAAAGTGCAGAGGCTGCATTGATTAGAGAGGCAAGAGTAATTTTATGGGACGAAGTCACTATGGCTAACCGAGCTATTATTGAGGCATTAGACATAACACTTAAAGATTTGTTGAATTCTACTGAGTTGTTTGGCGGAAAAGTTATCGTCTTTGGTGGTGACTTACGACAAACACTACCTGTTGTTCGACATGGGAACAAACAAGACACCATCAATGCATGCATTGTAAAAACCTCATACATATGGTGTAAAGTAAAACGTTTGACATTAGTGGAAAATATGCGAGCACATGAAGATCCTGCCTTTTGTGAGTACCTAATGAACATTGGCAATGGGACAATACCAACAATTTCAGGAACAAACATCCAAATTCCACAACAATTTCTTGTTCCTATCACCACAGATTCAAATCCCTTAAATTCATTACTCACAGCTGTTTACCCAAACCTAAATCTATTTCAACAGGATCCATATTTATTGATGGGTAGAATAGTACTGTCTACTACAAATAATCATGTCGATGAAATAAATGACATCATCATTACCAAATTCCCAGGTGAAGCAAAGACATTAATAAGCTACGACGAAGCATTGGACCCTAAGTACAGAAACTGCGAAGACATGCTACATACACTAACTTTTGCAGGCCTGCCTCCACATGCATTAGTTTTAAAAAAAAATTGCCCATTGATCCTGTTAAGGAAACTAAATCCATGCGAAGGCCTATGCAATGGCACATGCCTAATCTGTACTGCATTTAGTGATCATATCATTAGCTGTTACATAGCATTTGGTGAGTACAAGAAGAAGCATGTTTTCATTCCAAGAATACCACTGCAAATGTCTAAAGATGAACATTGCTCCATTCCATTTACAAGAACCCAGTTCCCAGTTAAGCTCTGTTTCGCAATGACAATCAACAAATCGCAAGGTCAGACACTGGAATTTGCTGGAGTATATCTCAGACAACCTGTTTTTTCACACGGTCAATTATATGTTGCGATGTCCCGTGAAAGAAATGCTGCCTCCATAAAGATGCTTATCCACGATGAGTTAGAAACTACCAAAACCACAAGTGTCACTGCAAATATAGTGTACAAGGAAATCTTAGAATACCTAACACAGTAATACATAAGGTACACATTCATAACTTACCTTACATTAAAAAAAACTCAAAATACACTCCTCTACTTCACTAACTGCACCGTTTTCTTTTCCTTTTCTTGTAGAATTACGATGCCTACCTCATGTCTTACTTTTATCAATAACTGTTTATAATCTGCTCTTGTTCTATAATTCTAAACGACATGTAACTTTAGTACTTGAAGTAAGGGAAGGGAAGCTACTATCAGGGAATTTCAATTTCTGAATATAAATCTTAGGTATGTACTCACCTAAGGCAAAGATTGTTTTACACCATTTTAAATAAAAAAAATTATAACTTTTTTTAATGGTATTTTTCATGTAGGAAATTCACTGTTCTGCCAACCTTTAACATTATTATTTTCCTCATTCATGTACCTCAAATTACTCTCTTTGCACAACTTGCTAACTTCAGTGATATTGCTTGCAGCAATCTATCTTCTAAAATTATGTTGCCTGATTATGCCTGTTACAGAATTTAAGTACATTCAGCCTCCATGCACAATACATATCAAACACAGAATTTTGTTATTCATTTAATCCAACTTTATAACAGGTCCGACCAATGGATGTAGAACAACCTCTCCTAGATGTTACTCCCAGTTCCAGATCGTGGAGGTGCAAAGTTAATGTAATAGAGAAGCTGAATACAAGACAGGCACGTCGGGATCCCGAAAAAACTTACAAATCCGTGATCATGCAAGATGGTGAGGTATAAGTCTGTACCAAACACCAATACCCAATATAAATCGAATAAGATAAATATGCATTCTGTGTTAAACTCCTAATAACTTGCAGGGACACAGAGTCAAGGGAATGATTTATGGAATAGATATTCCTTTCGTTGACGATCGCCTTCACTTGAACAAATCATATGTCATATCAAATGCCAGGGTGACTCCCGTCATGGAAAGATACTCAGTTCCCGATGAACAATACAGATACACTTGGACACTGAATAGAAGAACATTGATTATCGATGTCAATCCAGAGCACCAGCTCTTTATCCAAGCAAACCTCGAGGCACCTATTGACCCATTTCACACTTTTTATCTAGCTATGCTAAGCAAGTCAAGTTTAAGTAAGTGACTAATATATAAACACTTCCTTCCTCTACGTTCTTTTCCTCTATCTGTGCTTAACGTTGAATTCATTACTAACAGATGTGCTGGCAACTGTACTTGCTAAACTACCAAGGCGGTGTGTTTTCACTTCACAAGGGAAACAAATAATAAGCGATTTTGTTCTCATGGACCAGGAGTATGCCACTACACCTATTACTTAACAATGTATACTTAAAAACGAAATAAAATATCATCACTTTCCCATATGCAGATGTAAGCCGATCATCTTAAGAATGTGGGGTGATTTCGCAACACTTCAGGGAACTCATATCCAAGAGTTACTGGATGCAGGCACATACCCAATTATATTCGCAAAGAGGATTCATGCCACGTCTTTCCAAGGTCAGAATCTAACATTGTACATCAACCAAATTATTTCAAACATAACTACCACTAAATACATTTTAATTTTTTCACATTTACAACTAATAGGGCTGCAACTCACAACTCGTTACGATACATCCATCGAGATACAGCCAACTATCTCACCGATGGTTGCTCTAAATCAATGGTATGCATATTTACTGTCCACTGTTCTATACTTTTTTCCAGCGAGTATGTTTCATATTAAACAAACACATTATAGGACATCATTAAACAAGGATGCTATCCAGAACGCCATTCAATCAGAAGTTTACAAGGATGCTTTAAGTTTCTTTGTGGCTCCGGAAGACATTCAGAAAACAGCCATCTCAGCTGTGCTTTCTTCATACAAAGAGGTTCGTATATTCATATTCACACCGTACGTGTTCATGCCATCTTTAATTTCCATTTCATTCAAAAATATATTAATCTATCTTAAACGGACTTCATAAAACTATTCTTACATAAAGATCAACATCACAGCTTCATAATAACCAAAGGTTTTCACAATAAATTATGTAATAAATAAAGATTCTTACAAATTAGGTTTTTTCTTGTCACTCTTCGCAATAGGGATGTCTTCACTTTTCCTTTTGCAAACTTCCTTTATATCAATAACATCGGTATTTTCAGACCTAAACAAAACATATTTAAAAGCAGGCCATGTTTAGATTGGAGTGCCAATCTTTGAGACATACATTGACCTAATTAGTAACATTTGTTTTTGTTCAGCTTTGTTTAGGTTTTTCTAAACAAACCTTTTAAGACTTACACAATCCTGCAAGATCATGCAGGAATTCTGTCTTCAGATTTGTTTAGGTGTTCAAAATTCATCCCCAAATTAGACACTTTTTTTAAAAAAAAAATTTGGAACTTCAATCTAAAGATTAAACAGCAACAAATTTTTGATGATTTGGGAATCCACTTAAACATAAGCAAATTTTTGATGATTTGTAGCTGGAAAGATGTTTAGATTTTAGATTATGGTTTGATTTTTTAAATTGGCAGCAAACACTTGACCTGCAGATGTTGGATAAAGCACCAATACTATGTTTCTTTCCCAGGAATAGCAACCAAGTTAAACCACATACCTGTCCACATTATTATTGCTTTTTTACCCCTTATAAGATGGAAACGAAAAAAGAATGAAATTATTATTACTATGCTGATTATTATTATATTATTAGTATAATTATTGGCTTCACTCATTTGCTTTTGACCCCACACACACTTACAAAAAACTAAATCCATTTTTTTTGCTTCAGCATTGAAATAAAAGCTAATAATGGAGAATCATGATGTCTTTCCTTACTAAATTTTACCATTATTAAGTACTAATCATAGTTTCCAATTAAGCAAGTCACACAGTTTAATCAATATATGAATATATGAAAGGAAACAATACCCACCCAACTCAAACCTTTGTTTAATCAATATATGAATATGTCTAACGACCAAGATTATAGGTTCCCATTCTTTCCTTCTGATGTAAAAAACACATTAAAATGCTTTTCACAATGCTGTCCTTCATCTACTATTTCCTTCTTCTCTTTTCTATACGCTTTAACTGCTATCATTTGCCAAACTCCCATTTTCTATTAATATCATAAGTAATGTATTCAGGACGAAATATACTGGATAGAAGGCCAATTACAGCTTCAAGAGCATGGGCCAACTCCTTACTACATTGGATGCAGTACTTGTAACCGCAAAGTTGAGTTTGAGGTTGAAGATACCTACCAGTGCAGTGAATGCGGAGACAAGGAATCAAGGACTATAAAAAGGTATATACTCATTTCATCTAGAATATTCATAACACTTTCACTTCTTACTCCGCCCTAACATAATAACAAAAATATACAGGTTCAGAGTCTCTGCTGAGCTAGGTGATGAAGAAAACAAAATACAGTTCACTCTTTTCACCGAAAATCTGAAAAAAATTGCACGCTCACTAGAGATGAACACACCAATGGAATTAATGGATATCGACGACCTGAACAAAGGGCTCAGATCAATGGTCATCACAGCTGCTGTACAGTTACAGCGAGCCACTTACCAAAGACAAGGAAAACCGTTTTCTTTATTATGTCTCCATCAGTTTTCTGACAAACTCATCAAGGCTGCACCCCTAAAGAGAAAACAAACTGCAAGCCAAGATGAGTAAAACATATGTAGGAGAAAATTATAAAATGACCTCTAAACCAAATGCCTTTAGTAAAAAAACTTTTGAAAATGACATCTAACCACTATGGAGGTCATTTTCAGATTTTGTTAGGTAAGTTTTTGCCTTAACTTTAACCCCTTTAATACTTAGGTGCATGTAAGATATATATAATGCTATGCTACAATGACACTTATGTTTAATATGGTGATTCACTGTAACCATCACCCTTTTTGTAAACTTACAAACATGTAAAATATATATATATATGTGTGTGTAATGCTATGCTGCTGTTAATGTATCCTTACCCCTTTTGTAAAATAGTATACATGTTTTAAACAGCTACATGTGCGCCTTCTATGGATCAATGTTTTTTTCCTTATTAAATGCAAGCCTTTCAAATAGATTAAAACACCATTGTTCCAAGAGAAAAAAATCAAAACTGAACATAATGCATCAATATCAAAAATTATCATCTAAAAAAATAAATTTCTACTCTAAACACTTTAGTCATATACTGCTCAGTTATTTCTGTAATAGTGCCCCTGGGTTGGTGTTGTTGTTGTAATAGTGCTGCTGCTAATGAGTAGTACATAAAATTGATGCGCACCTTCAAATTTGAGAAATGCCCCGGTCTATTTTTCCTTGACCATGAACATCTGTTTCCATTTATCTATTGTGTAAGAGGTGATGTATAATACAATTCTATATATATTAGTTGAGAAGCCAAACAAGGAAAGCACAAAAAGTGCACAGCCGGCTGTCTTATCAGATGAACATATAGACTTGGTGAATAAAATACAAAGGAGAAACAACATATTTTCTCCAATAAAAAAATTAACTCCAAATGACTTTCTTTGTTCTTGTTTTCTGTTTTCATGTTTTGTTCACATGTGGTCCTAATGTTATACTTTGCACTTTAATGTTTCTCTAAGCAAATCTTTTGGACAAGAATAAGTAAGAAAAACCATTAAATCATTTCCTAAGGTATCCCTTTAGGAGTTTTTTGCTCAAGCCTTTGACTAAAAGCTTCCAGTTGTATGGTTTGAAAAAAAATTTATGTGGTACAACTCTGTGTCCTCTTTTATGTGTGTTTTGAACTGAATACAACATTACACCCTTTTTTTTTTGCACAGCAAAAACCCATTTTGTTAAACAAATTTTTATATAGTTTCAAATCCCTTTTCACTAAAATGAAGTACCTTAAACTTGGGCACCCACACACAAAGTGTGTGCTAAGCTAGTTCACAATAATAAGGCTTAAGATATTTGGACTTAGTCTTATTATCACTACGGACCCCTTTTCGTTTGGCATCCACTGACGAGCAATCATGGCACAAAATTGGCAGGAAATTATGGAAACCTCAAACTTTGCACGCAAAAGATATACCCAAGTACCACGAGAATTCTCATAAACAATTGCCTGAAAAAATTAAACTCGTTCATACTCGGAGCCTGATATGGACCCCACACATCAATATGAATAAGTTGAAACAAATGTGTACATTTATGACTCTCCGTCCTAAATTAAATTGCATGCTTACTATGCATTGGGTCAAATTTCATTCACTTTTCTTTCCCTGTTTTTATTTTTTTAATTCTACATCGTTTTCATTTAAAATATTTAAAAATAAATTTAATAATATATCATAAACAGAAACAGGAAATTTAAATTGGGGTGGAGGGAGTATTATTTAATAGAAAACTACTTCGAGATTGTTTGACACGTACACAAATGTCACTTGGTGCTTTATTCAACTTGGGAAATGTAAGATAAAACTCTCGCAGAGGGGTGGGCCAAGACGCCGATCGATGCCCAAATCAAAGGCACATTCCTTACCGTAGACAAAACACTCCCAATGTGAAATAGTTAAAAGTACTCCCCGAAAATGTTCTTCCCATTTGACATTTTACGATCTTCAAGATTGTACTTTGACCACCAATATCTTTATTTATACATGGATATATTTTAAAAAATTTGATATTTGAAAACTGTATTTCAAAATGAATATATTCATATAAAATTTATATCGCAATACAATGTATTTTTTCCACATATCATAGTCAAAGTTTACAAATTTAGATCAAGAAAAGTCAAATGAGAAAAATATTTTTGAACGGAGGGAGTAATAAAAACCTTCAAATTGTCTACCCGCACCTATCACCAAACATTCTTGTCGAATTTTATCATCCAATTAGTTCTTTTAACAATTGTGATGCGGAGATCAAATCACAACTCAAATCCGGCACAAAGAGTACATAACGGATTCATTAAGCTTTACATTGCCCGCGGTAGTAGCCGCAACCCGTTTTCCATCTTTGAGCCAAATCCAGCAACCCGGTATGACATGAAAATCAAATAAATAACTCAAATCACCATTCATGATTCGTCGCTCTAGCATCAATAGTCCATCGTTTAGGCTATGGTGTATGGGGGATCGGGGGAGTAGGGGTTGCCCACCTGGCAGCCGACCCTGACGGGAACACTACCCCTCGATCGGTGTTCGGTGTCAGAAGCGTGCAGACGCTGACTGCCCCGACCGATTTCTCTTTTTTTCTCTTTTGGCTGTTGGAGCTAAAAAATTAGAGTTTTTTTTTTGAAAAATGACCGTTAGGTCCAAAAAATAATTCTACTCAGTTTAAACACAGCTCTTCTATCCAAACTTTCAGGCTTTTCCTTCGGTGCCATTTGTAAACTGAGGGTTTTGGTGCCCTCAATATATGGAGCAATGAGAGGATATTTTTAATACGGAGGCTTTTCCACACGTGTACCCTATTCCACATAATTTAATACGGAGTATATTTTTGTTTATTACAATCAAGCCCAGGTCAAAAATTCAATTATTATTTCGTATTTCTCACAAAAAAACAAAAAATAATTAACAAAAAAACAAAAAAATGACAAAATCAAGAGTAATATTTAACAAAAAAAATACAGAGATATTTTGGTACAACATTTGACATCACATATACCTTTTTTTACACTAAAT